GACACACTGTTGAGGGTTTAAATGCGTTAGGTTGCCTTCAGCGACGGACCTATGGGGGGGCAAGGGGGGGCAGGCTGCCCCTCCAATACTTAACTAATTGGCAATTTTGACAAGAGTTGGTAATTTTCATTACCAGTTGGCGAATGCCGCGAAAGTAGGTAAATCGTAAATACTTAATAAATACTACCCGTTTGAGTTGGAAATTTTTACAGTTGAGTTGGCAAAATGTCATGTCTGCCCCCCCGATTTTTTTGTCTAGGTCCGTCCCTGGTTGCCTTTAGTTTGGGAAGAGCATAGGGATATCAATGGGAATGAGGATTTAGAAATTAGCATACTAGGAAATAAAAATTAATATTTGATGAAACCTAGTTAAACTATTCTATACAAAATTACCCAGAAACACTAATCTTCTTTTATATCTGCGTACATAGTACGCATATACACGAATGGAAAAAAGGATAGAAACAACTAGTTGGCAGTTTGTCAAAATTGTAATCTTTTGTCTGTAAGAACCATCTAAAAATTGAATGGTTGGGTACTTTAGCCAAAATCCCACTTTAAAAAGTTTCCTAATAATGACCATTATTCAACAACTTTTCTTGAAAAATCGTAACTTTAAAGACAACCGAGATGTTACGTCTGAATGTTACATATAAATAGTTGTAATCACCAATAACCATTCTAAGGTGCTCAACTTATTTTTGCTATTGATGACTTCACGCACTTAAAAAACGAAGTAATGTTCTTTACACATTACAAATTTTAAACACGAACGCTTCTTTATTTTTATAAACCCATCGTGCACTGAACTTTGGCAGCCGAAACGTCAATAAATCTCTAATTAATTGGTTCCGTACCATTATAGATTGATCTACCCAAAATAAATGCCTCATTTAAATTGTTTCTAATTACGTTACCGAAACGTGGGCGCCATCGGCATTGACTTTCTCTCCTTGTCATAAAAATAAACCTCTATACTAAGAACACACCGGCACATTCAGTAAGTGGGCAGCGAGTTTTTGCACGGGATTACAGTGCCCCTTTGTCTTGTTTTAGTTTAAAAAAAAAGAGGAAACTGTCGCCTAAGGGAGGTCTCTTTGAAATTTTTTACGTGGAGTCTGATAAACCCAAAAAGTAAATTTCGTCGCTATACATTAAATGTTTCATTATTTTGTTATATTTCTTGAGGCTGCAAGCATTTGTGAAACCTCCAGTAAAAAGTAATATAATTGTAACTTTGAGCAAAACAGAAAAGTAGAGATATTTTTCTTCCAAAAGGAAGGAATCTTCTGCTTCAGAAATTTACAAAAAAATGATCTTTTACCTTTACCGTGGACCTAAGCCGCGAAAGCATAATTAAACAATCTTTGGAAGCAATAGGGCACGGTATTATACCCTTGAAAAGATCTAAAAACGACTCGTAAAAATGAATCGATTTTCACTTTTGCTCTTATTTCCCAAGTTGAGACCTTTTCACTCAAATTAATCATATACCGTTGCATTTTGGAATTGGAAATTTTACACTGGAGAAACAGTTACGTAAATAGAGAAGATAATTTTAGTCACTCCGTGAAATGCAGCATTTGGATTGCTTAAAAAAGGGTTCTGCATTTAGCTGATCAAATAAGAGCAAACCCAAACACTGCAGTAAATTGAAAATTGGAATTTCAGTAAAAAGCGTGTTGATTGTTCAAAACGAAAGCTATATTTCCTTAATTATCGTTGACAAGTATAAAAAGAACAAATTTGTTACTAAAATGTTACCTTATACGTTGGACTTGTAGACGTAGAACTGTTTGCGAACCGGAACACAAAACACGACTGATTATAGAACATGTACATAAGGTAATGATAACCTCAAGGTCAGATTTGCATCCCTCCGTAGCTTACTCACTTTATATAATTATGAATCACTACAATAAAAGCGGAATAATGGATTTAAAGACGCTTATCGATGCGATTCTCATATTGAATCCTAAATTTTATTTTTCACCAAGAAGCGAAAAATTAAGTGATTTTCTGCTAATAAATAGTGCCTATAGTCTGTTCGAGTTTTCGCTAATTAATAGCTGCCCGTTACTCACCATTTACAGATGTGTTACGCGGCAACAGTCCTCAAGCACCCCTCAAACTGCACATGCAATTGTCACCCCAATTCGGTCTTACTGATTATCCTCATATATACCTTGAGAAGAGTGCAACTTTTGTAGGGCATCAAATATTTCAATTTCTTTGATTGATTTTGTTTAAATAGACTACAAGCAACCCTTAAACTGCACATTCAATTGCCACCCCTCGCGATTTTAAAATTAACAATTTTTTTTAGAAATCCAGTCTTACTAATTATTCTCATATACCTTGAGAAAAGTTCAACTTTTGTAAGGCATCAAATATTTCAATTTCTTTGATTGATTTTGTTTAAATAGACTACAAGCAGCCCTTAAACTGAGCATGCAAATGTCACCCCTCGCGAATTTAAAATTAAGAATTTTTTTAGATATTCTTCGTTAGCCATTATTCTCATATTCCTTGAGAGGAGTGCAACTGTTGCATTGCATCAAATATTCCAATTTCTTTGATTGATTTTGTTTAAATAGCCCTCAAGCAACCCTTAAACTACACATTGAATTGTCACCCCTCGCGATTTTAAAATTAAGAATTTTTTTAGAAATTCGGTCTTACTATAATTATTCTAATATACCTTAAGAAGAGTGCAACTTTTGTACTGCATCAAATATTTCAATTTCTTTGATTGATTTTATTTAAATAGACTATAAAAAACCCTTAAACTGCACATTCAATTGTCACCCCTCGAGATGAGAAGAGTTCAACTTTTGTACGGCATCAAATATTTCAATTTCTTTGATTGATTTTGTTTAAATAGACTACAAGCAACCCTTAAACTGCACATTCAATTGCCACCCCTCGCGATTTTAAAATTAACAATTTTTTTTAGAAATTCGGTCTTACTGATTATTCTCATATACTTTGAGAGGGGTGCAAATGTTGTATTGCATCAAATATTCCAATTTCTTTGATTGATTTTGTTTAAATAGTCCTCAAGCAACCCTTAAACTGCACATTCAATTGCCACCCCTCGCGATTTTAAAATTAATAATTTTTTTTAGAAATTCGGTCTTACTGATTATTCTCATATACTTTGAGAGGGGTGCAAATGTTGTATTGCATCAAATATTCCAATTTCTTTGATTGATTTTGTTTAAATAGTCCTCAAGCAACCCTTAAACTGCACATTCAATTGCCACCCCTCGCGATTTTAAAATTAACAATTTTTTTTAGAAATCCAGTCTTACTGATTATTCTCATATACTTTGAGAGGGGTGCAAATGTTGTATTGCATCAAATATTCCAATTTCTCTTATTGATTTTGTTTAAATAGTCCTCAAGCAACCCTTAAACTGCACATTCAATTGCCACCCCTCGCGATTTTAAAATTAATAATTTTTTTTAGAAATTCGGTCTTACTGATTATTCTTATATACTTTGTGAGGGGTGCAAATGTTGTATTGCATCAAATATTCCAATTTCTCTGATTGATTTTTTTAAATAGTCCTCAAGCAACCCTTAAACTGCACATTCAATTGCAACCCCTCGCGATTTTAAACTTAAGAATTTTTTTTAGAAATTCGATCTTACTGATTATTCTCATATACCTTGGGACGGGTGCAAATGTTGTATTGCATCAAATATTCCAATTTCTCTGATTGATTTTGTTTAAATAGTCCTCAAGCAACCCTTAAACTGCACATTCAATTGCCACCCCTCGCGATTTTGAACTGAAGAATTTTTTTTAGAAATTCGGTCTTACTGATTATTCTCATATACCTTGGGACGGGTGCAAATATTGTATTGCATCAAATATTCCAATTTCTTTGATTGATTTTGTTTAAATAGTCCTCAAGCAACCCTTAAACTGCACATTCAATTGCAACCCCTCGCGATTTTAAACTTAAGAATTTTTTTTAGAAATTCGATCTTACTGATTATTCTCATATACTTTGAGAGGGGTGCAAATGTTGTATTGCATCAAATATTCCAATTTCTCTTATTGATTTTGTTTAAATAGTCCTCAAGCAACCCTTAAACTGCACATTCAATTGCCACCCCTCGCGATTTTAAAATTAATAATTTTTTTTAGAAATTCGGTCTTACTGATTATTCTTATATACTTTGAGAGGGGTGCAAATGTTGTATTGCATCAAATATTCCAATTTCTTTGATTGATTTTGTTTAAATAGTCCTCAAGCAACCCTTAAACTGCACATTCAATTGCAACCCCTCGCGATTTTAAACTTAAGAATTTTTTTTAGAAATTCGATCTTACTGATTATTCTCATATACCTTGGGACGGGTGCAAATGTTGTATTGCATCAAATATTCCAATTTCTTTGATTGATTTTGTTTAAATAGTCCCCAAGCAACCCTTAAACTGCACATTCAATTGCTACTCCTCGCGATTTTAAAATTAATAATTTTTTTTAGAAATTCGGTCTTACTGATTATTCTCATATACTTTGAGAGGGGTGCAAATGTTGTATTGCATCAAATATTTCAATTTCTTTGATTAATTTTGTTTAAATAGACTACAAGCAACCCTTAAACTGCACATGGAATTGTCACCCCTCGGGATTTTAAACTTAAGAATTTTTTTTAGAAATTTGGTACCTACTTCAAATATTTCAATTTCTTGGATTGATTTTGTTTAAATAGACTACAAGCAATCCTTAAACTGCACATGAAATTATTCACCCCTCGCGATTTTAAAACTACGAATTTAGAAATTCTGCCTTGAGAAGGGTGCAACTTTTGTAGTATGTCAAATATTTCAATTTTTTTGATTGATTTTGTTTAAATAATCTACAAGCAGCCCTCCAACTGCATATGCATTGCTATGGAAAACCTCTAAATTGAAACAACGGTGTGACCATTGTGACAGATTCAGTTGTTTGAATCAACTACGCTTTTTAAGATGGTAACACTTACCGCTCACGATGTCTCCTTCTAGTTATCCAATCGGCACCTTCGATAATGCTTCGAACTTCCCTTCCGCCGGACGAATCTCCATCGGAAGTTTGGTTCGTATCGTCACTACTAATTTTGTCACTATCGAACGACTTTTTATAACCGACGTCCGAAACACGCGCACTTTCGTCCGCACCGTTTTTCGCGGAACCTTCCACTTCCGAACCGGAATGCGAATCGTCCGACGAGATACCCTCGTCAAGAGCAAAATCGGAAGTTTCCGGTTTTAAAATTGAACGTAAACCGCTGTGAGTCGTAGCACCGAGTCGCCTCACTTCCTCAGACTTCTTCAATACCGACTTGAGCGACTCTTGAAACCTTGGCGATACCCTGGCGCTAACCTGAGAAAAATCCAATTTTGATTTTAAAATTCCCTTCCTCTCTTTTTGATTAACATTGTCATCCTTAGAAGAATCTGTAAATAAACTCAAAGTAAATAACCAAAGGATTCACTCAAAAATTGCAAATTAATCACACCTAAAGCGAACATGTTGTGCTTTCTACTTGGTGGAGCGCGTGCCGTTTCAACTTCGTCTACGGTAACAGGCTGCGATTGAAATCTAGCGGAGCGTGGTCTGTACTTGGTGGCGGTATTAGATGAAATGGTCTGACTAAATAGCTTAATTCTCTCCGAAATACTCAAGCGAGCTGGATCTGTTCTGTCCAGTTTACCATCTGCGTGATAACATGCAAAGCCAAATGATAACTACTCAAACACTCAAAACTTACCAACTGAGGCATCCTCCTCCACGCTCAGTTTTCTCGCCTCCTGCACTTCGCTGACGGTGATCGGCTGCGTTGAAAATCGACTAGCGGGCACTTCCTCGCGATGTTTTAAACCGCCTGCTCCAAACGGTTAGAGACACACCGAATATTGCGTCCAGACTTACCTTTTCTCATGGCTTTGGCCTCTTCGGCCAGGGTCTTCATTTGCAACTTGCCTGCAGCGCACTTCGGCGAAGGAAGCGGGCTAACGGAAGACGCAGCCTCACTTTCAAGCTCCAAGCCATCCCCAAGAGACTGAAAGGCCGAATCTGAAGACATCTTCCCTGATATTCCACTATCGATGGTCGTATTTGGCAAGGAAGACGAAAAGATACTGTTAAGGTTGTTTTCGCTGTCGAACGAAGTCGTCAGATCCACCAACGAGTGAGCATTGTGACCACCATTGCAATCGGTCGTTGCCGAAGGTAAATCTTGATGCAACGGTTTTCGGAGCGAGTTACGGCTGAAAGAACAAAACGTAAGCGACTAAATTGAACTCGGAGTGCCGCAATTTTTAGACAGATTGTAAATTCTAAAGATAGCCGAGTATTTTGGCAACAACTACTAAATAAAATCGACCACGTAAAATCCATCAAGTTGTTTCTTAACTTATAAATTTGCCGGTCAGATTATAATTAGATTATGACCCAATTTATGTATTATAAATATTACGTTCACACGTTTTTTCATAAAGGTTGTCCTTGCAAAATTCGTACTATACAGTGTGTGCCTGGTTCTTTTGCTAACTTGTATACTGTTCGAGTTGGAATTAACAAAATAAAGAGTATTTTTCTCAAGATTGGAATGACCAAATCAGAAGAACAATTGAGCATATGGCATTAATTACTAGTATTATCAAAAAAGTACGGTTTTTTTGGATCAAACTTAAAATGGTAAAATCAAAATTTCATTAATTCGCTTAGAGTTACGAGGGAACAAAAAATTGTCAATCTCAGAATGATCCTATATGTTCATAATAAAAAGGGACAGAAACTTCACTTTTTTAAATGGACCACCCTGTATTTTAATCCAAAAAATGGCGTTTCAAAAATATAACTCCAAAAAATTCAATACTGATTCAAAAAAATTAAAAAATCTCTTTACAACATTTTTGTATTATTGAACTTTTTTTAATTTTGTTAAAATGTTCTTGATTTTTTGGAATGGTCGCAGGGATGAAATTTTCTACATTCGTGAAGTAACGAGACCACAAAATTCAACTAGCGCCAAAATATTTCAGCCCCCCCCCCCCAAATTCATTTTCGGATTATCATCCACTAAAACCTGGTTGTGGTAGTGTGCCTTTTTGAGATAACGATACTCTATGAACGGCGTGCACGTTTGCATTTGTACTTTTCGCTTCACGGCTCATCGGTCGCAAAACTTTTTCTAAATTACTAGCATGGATAGCTCTAGGGACCATTGCACTATTCTTATTACTAGCCATTTTAGGCGAATGAAACTGCGGCAGATTCAATCCTAACGAAAAACGCGGAAAAAAGAATCTAATTTTGCTTACCTCGCCTCAAGCTCGTGGTAGGTTACCGGCTGAGTCCGATATCGCTCGCCGTTCCTTTTAGTTTTCGGAATTGCGCCAGTTGACAGTCTTTTCTCTATATTAAGTACCATATCACAGACGGATAGAGGACGCGGCTTGCGTAGCTCGCGATCCTCGGGTTTTTGGGGAAGAGGATTTTTGACGTTGAAATCCGTACAGACCGTGTGCGACCGACGCGAATTGCGGTGACGTCGAAAATCGGAGACCGCCGAATCGGAAGCGCAGTCATTGGAGCAGAACGATAATCTCGGTCGCGGGGAGCTTTCGCGCGAGGTGCCCTGTTTGAGAATCGGCTTGACGTCGCACTCGTCAGTGCTGGACCGCTGGTAATTGTATCGGTAGGAGGCTTCTGACGCGTCCGAGTCGCGATCTTCGGCGGAATTTTTGCTGTTCTTCAAAATGGGCTTCTTGGGCTTATCCTCGTAGTCGTCGGTATCGGTACTGGATTTCTTCTTCAGGATAGGTTTGGGTACATCAAATGATGAAGAATCGACGGTTTGGTCTTCAGAAAAACTTCTCTTTTTCAAAATTGGTTTGACGGTCTCATTCGACTCTAGTACCATTTCTGCACCTCCAGCAGCAGCGAGAATAACAGCGGTTGCGATCGAAACATGTGGGGTGTGCGTGCTGGAACCGGCGCTGCTGCTACCAGATCGCCGTTTGAGTATACCATGTGGCTCTGGGGAGTTTATGGGAGGCTCAATATCATCTTCCACTCGCGACGATCGGCGTTTCAGGATGCCATGCAAGCCGGATTCGGGAGACTGCGATCTGAGGATTTCCTCCAGTGAGGATCGGCGCTGATTTTTTAAAATTGAACGCGAATCCGATCGGCCATGGACGGCCATTTCTGGGCTGCAGCTGCGGTGACGTAGCACTTGAGACTCGTCCAAGCTTCGTCTTTTCTTCAGAATCCCTTGCCGGCGACGATTCGTGGCTGGATCTACGACGCTCGGGGAGAAAGTTACGGGAGGTGTCGCGGTCGGCGGTGTTCCCGATTGCGAACGCACTTGGTCCACGGAAACCTTGCGCTTCAAAATTGATATGGGACCACTGACCGTGTTACTAATAACGGGCGGCGCAGCCGCCTCATCTTTCTTTTTCAAAATTGAATACGTGTGAGTCTTAACCGTATCGTGGGAAGTTTCGAGCTTCTCGGTGGTTGTGTGAACGGCAGGGTTTTGGACACTCGACTTGGTTTTCACGGCTAATTTTTCGATGCGCGCCAAGGCGTCTTGAGTTAACGCGGTCAGCTCGTCCATTCGTTTTGATACATTAACAGATCTGCGCGGTTTATTACTATTTAATGGAGTTTTCTCCTGTTTCACTAAAGTTCTGTTTTCCTTATTACCTAATTTATGAAATAAGTTGGTCGGTTTGATGGATTCGAGAGACTTCTTGGGGTAAGCTCTGCTTAATTTTCCCATTTCGGAGTGAGATACGAGTTGACCCCTACGGGCGTTTTCCATATGTATACTAAGTTCCGATTTTTTTAACGGCGTGCGCGATGATATGGCAGTACTGAGAACGGGAGAGGCAGTGGATACATTATCACATTTAGGCGTTTCACTACTTAAATGAGAATCTCGTGAAGGCTGTTGCAGTACTTCGGGCGGGAAAAAGCGTCGACGTCGCCTACGTGTTATGAAGTCCTCTATAACAAAAAAAAGGACAACGATGTTACAAGGGTAAAAGGGCTTATAGCAGATAATGAAATTCTAAGGCATTGGCATCGATGTCTAGACGGTTGTCATGGTTACCTTGCAGCCAGAAATTCTGGAAGATTGAAACTTAATCCACCACCTTTATGCATCATTCTATATTTTAATCATATACAACAGAATTCATATAAAATTATGTGTCATCGCACGTTCTTTAGTTAAGCAAGTAAATAGTAAGAGTTATGAAAGCTTAGAGATTTGAAAAGGTGTACACTTCCTAATGAATATTGGAAACAAAAAGAACTCGGGAACTCTCAGAAGTAATTCGATTGTCACCTTATGCCAACGCAAATTTTAGGTAGATGTCAAAATACATCCCAACGTAAACAACATAAAAATGGCCTCCACGTTTTGGCACTTTATTGTTGCACACTAAAAACTTTTAAAATTTTAAATATGAAATATGAATTTCGAAGGCAGCTTAGCAAATTCGAAAAATGTTAACACAACCTCTTTAAAAATTGAAGTTAGCATTCAGGAATATTAAACACGCTATTATTCGTACCAACATAAAAGTAATCATGAAATACGAAGTAACATAACCTCACATTTCGACAAAATAAACTGAACTTCTTATTAAGATTGTGGAAAATTTCGGGTTTGTTCCGCAAATTTTTTTGTTAAAAACGCTTAAAACAAACAGTTTTTATTAATTTCATTCTTTTTTTTAAACACCAATACTGGTTACTAGCTTAAAAAACAAATAAATTTTAGATATGAATCGTGAACTCCTTAAGAGCTTTATCTATTTGCAAGAATTTTTTGAGCTCAGCTCCTTAAAAAGGATGTAATTTTTGGAGTGCCCAAATCAAAATGAATATTGAACTCTAATACCTTACTAATTCAAAAATTAATTTTATCTTCTAATTACCTTAGTAACCAATTAGGATGAAAAGACCGGGATTGCAAAGATTCTGGACAAATACGGAAAAATAGTGCAGTTTTTGAAGACAACCGGGAGAAAATTGCCTTGATTCATTTATCAAAGCTATCTATAAATCAATGTATAAATAGATCCAGAGAACCAGGGGCGGACTGGTCCGGGGAGGCGGGTGGCGATTGCCACCTGGCCTGTACGTCATAATGGCCCGTTGGAAATTTATAAGTATGTGCTGTATTTAGTTTCTTGCACTATTAATAAGTTATTGACACGTTTCTCTAATTGGGGTTGATGTTAGGTTGTTAAAAAATTAAAAAATTCTGTTTTAATTGAAGTGTTTTACAATGAATTTATCATTTTTTAGCGTAGCATGAAAGTGCTGAAATACAATGATAGGCGACGCGCCTCGTTTGGATTGTATAGTTTGTTACTTTTAATTATCAGCTGCAATTAAAAAAAACTGTATTGTAATTGATTTCCGAAAAAGGAGTACCTTAAAATGAAGCAAAAAATGTTTTTGTGGTACAACGCAGAGCTCCCCCCCCCCCACCGCAACCTTCATTACTACACTAATACTTTAATGGCCCGTAACCTATGCAATTCCACCTGGCCCGCCCCTGACTAGAAACCAATTTCGAAGGAAAATTCAAAGGGCTGTAACTTTTGAACTAGTAGCCCAATCTTGGAACTGTTTGAAATTATGGATTCTACAGGCCACATTCTATAAAAAAAATTTTTTTCCGGGTCGATCTGAGACAATTTTTTTTTCGGAGCTCAAAAAAGGCAGTGTATAACCTTCCTTTTTTACCAAAAATCGACTGCATGAAAATTCTCGGGAAAACACTTTTTCTTATTAATTTTGGTGCGTAGAATCCAAAACAATTCGTACTTTTTCGATCGGGCGTCTCAATCAAAAGTTATGGACTAGAAACAGGGGCGGACTGGTCCGGGGAGGCGGGTGGCGATTGCCACCTGGCCTGTACGTCATAATGGCCCGTTGGAAATTTATAAGTATGTGCTGTATTTAGTTTCTTGCACTATTAATAAGTTATTGACACGTTTCTCTAATTGGGGTTGATGTTAGGTTGTTAAAAAATTAAAAAATTCTGTTTTAATTGAAGTGTTTTACAATGAATTTACCATTTTTTGTCGTAGTATGAAAGTTCTGAAATACAATGATAGGCGACGCGTCTCGTTTGGATTGTATATTTTGTTACTTTTAATTATCAGCTGCAATTTAAAAAAAAACTGTATTGTAATTGATTTCCGAAAAAGGAGTACTAAAATGAAGCAAAAAATGTTTTTGTGGTGCACCTCAGAGCCCCCCCCCCCCCCATACACACACTAATACTTTAATGGCCCGTAACCTATGCAATTCCACCTGGCCCGTAAGTACCCAGTCCGTCCCTGCAGAGAACCCGTCTACCGTGAAGATATTTTTTCACCAATATCAACAATGACTGCAGTAATTCAGTCCTACAAAGAGCATACAATTTATTTAACTCCTATCATCCTATCCTATAAAGCGCACATCCAGGAAATCTTCCTGAAGAACAGTTTCTTGTTTCCAGTTTGACTGGCCTTAGTTACCATGGATGCAATAAACAAAACAAAATCTTCATAAATCCATGGCTAAAATTAAAAAAAAAGGTTGTGGTACAACAATGTAATCAGGAAAAAGAAAGCAAAAAATTGACGTTAAGATATACATAGATTTGGAGCTTTTTGTTATTATTCTTCTAAAAAAATGTCAATGAGATAAGTTTTATTTTTATTTTTAAAACATCCATGATAATATGACGTCTTGTCATGGTGATCTCGGAAACCATAAAATAAACAATAAAAATGCAGAGTTTAAATTCTGAATTGAAGCTTTAAACAATACCTAAATTTTGAGTTTATGATCATTTTAGGCGAACAACCGTTACGTAGGGGTTGGTTTCCGAAAAAGGAGGAGAAACGTACGTCGTTTATCAACGCAATTTGTGCATTTGCTCAACATTAAATTTATGAATTTTTGTTTAAATCCAGCATTCCCGCATTACGATTATTTTTGCAATTTAAGTTTCAATTTAAAGTAAGTTGTGTGAATTCCCCTTAACTTTAATTAAAAGACGCATCTTCTCTATACAGAATTTTAATACCCGGAACCCTTCATGTCAATATGTGATAAAGGCGCCTTTATCCAGGGCCGGATTATCCACTAGGCAAACTAGGCAATTGCCTAGGGGCGCACGGATCAATGGGGCGCCGCGCCCGGGCACCGGCACCACGCACCAAACGTGTACGCGATAATTTTCTATCACCAGCAGTCACGTATCACTATTACAAGATGATGTGGAAATTCGGAAATGTGCAGAACATTTAAAATCTGTATACTTTGAAGATTTATATGAAACGTTTTCTGTAGAATGCGTTCAATTCAAGTATTTCATTGAGCATTTAGAAAATGTGGAAAATATTAACTTTTATAAGAGAGAAAAATGTAATAACAATGTTTCCCAACATCGAAATTGCAGCAAGAATTTTTTAAGTTTATTTATAACCAATGCTACAGGCGAACGATCTTTTTCGACTTTAAAAAGGACAAAAACACATCTCAGAAATTCAATTAATGCTCAGAGCATTTCAAATTTGGCAGTTCTTTCTATTAATAGTGATTTGACGAACAGGCTGGATTTTAGTGACGTTATAAAAGAATTCTCTTGTAAAAAATCACGCAAAAATATTTTCTGTGTTCTTACTAGGAAAAGAGGGGGAGGGGGGGCGCCAGTAGAGTTTTGCCTAGGGGCGCATACACAGTTAATCCGGCCCTGCCTTTATCCGATGAGTCATACACAACTTAGTTTGACTTTGATGTACCTATACAAATTGTTTTAATTTCAAACATCACCAATAGAAAATAAGCAAATCTCTCACGTTCTGCTAATTATAATTACGTGAAGAAAATAAAATCAATGCGTTTTGACTAACCTTACCCACCCCAATAATCGATGGAACGTAATAAAAATTCTTTACTTTACGACATCTACCTATAGATAAAGAAGCCCAGAATGCCCGGAAGGGACAAAAATAGAGCACTATACTATTAAAATATTGATGCAAGCCATGCATAAAGTGAGTACACTGTCTGGTGGATGGGTGTATATTTTCTAGACAGCTTTTATATAAATTTTATAGGGCTTCTTAAAAAAGCTGCAATATTTAATAAGGGATGATTTCATCTTCCATATCGTACTATTTTTGCAACACGAATTTTCATAAAGCCTTTACAGGAAACTAAGTAACTTTTTGCCTATACTGTGTATAAAAACATTGCAATATTGAAGTAAACATACCTGTTGAATCTGGTTGAGGAACTTCTTCGGAATTTAACGCTCGATTTAGATTCGACTTACGTTTACCGCTTTTATCGCGTTCTATTTTAAGACTACGTTGAGCATCAATTCCATTTGACATGTGCTGGGAAGGTTTCTGCAACAAACAGTAGCTTACATAATTTTGCCGCACACAAAAAAAACGAAGGGGGATGAAAATTGTGTCAAACACGTGCGACAGTAATGCTCCTTTTATTACCCAAAGAACCATGAAAAGGGAAAGTAGAAATGTAACGGAAGCGCTTGCTTATTAAGGTAAAAACGGGTAGTTTCCTCCGCAATAAACATCAAACGATCCTTCTCGTGTATAAGGAAATGCTCCGTAATGGTACATAAAAATTTATATTCGAAGAATGTACACGAGGAAATTTCACACGCAACTATGTACAATAAGCTGCCTGTATAACAGGCGTCGACGTTGCATTTGTTATTAATTAAACATTTTATAACTGCGGCATACATTTGGTTTTTGTTCCAAGCGATTGTAGAAAATCGCTTTAGATGTAGGGATGAGAAACTGTCCTCATTTTCCTGTGTAGAATACATTGGTTAACAGAAAAAAGGGGAGGTTTTCAAAATTGAGAACTTGAACTTTAATTTCGGAGCACCCTGTACCGGTTTTCAGTGCGCCACATTGTAAAATGCAATTCAACAATCGAGAAAACATTGATTTTTCGTTTAACAAGTAAAAAAATTACGTTAGTAATTTACCCCGTCAAATTTTTTTATAGATAGATAGCCAGATAAAGAATTGTCGAATTTTTGCGACACAGCCGTATTTTAAAGCAACAAATGTACCCCTTTGGGGGCTTTTGGAGCTACGCACCCAAAAGTCCCAAAAATTCGGTTTCTTCCTTCATTTTTTTTAATTTGTAGAATTATTTCCAACATTCTTATCCCTAGACGTAGGAGAGAAACATTCTGATCTGAAGAAAATTGATGTTCGAGGAATTTTGAACATTAAAATCTTGAGTCAAAAATACGACTTTTTCAAAGAAAATTGTGTGTATTTAATCATCAAAATCGCGTAACAATATTTGAATATATGCTGGCGTCATCAAAAAGAAGTCGAGTATACCCGTACTCCCTACGGCCGACAAAGTTCAAAAATTATTATAGGGATGATATAAAATAAGATCTAATATTAATCGCAACAAATTAATATAATTGGTGGGCAAATACCTCTAAATTGAATGTTTCGATTCATATGCATATTTTTGCATATTTCGTTCTGCATCTTTATTGCTAACTTCACTAGAAATATGCAAAATGTTGTTGCTGGGTGGTCATTGATAACATCACACGGGAATGCACAAATGGAATATGGACCAAAGGCAGTACTTTTATAACGTGTTTCTACCAATCCGCTGAGTATTAGAGTGGAGTATTTTTATGAGGTGTTTTTTGGGTTTCAAAATTGTTAGAAATCTTTTTCATTCTCGTGCCAACTATTGCATTTTCTTATCTTTCAAACGATATTTTCAAAGATACCAAATGTAGTGTCAATTTTCGCAACATTTTTAGAAACATTACTAAAAGGTCATACCTAAAAACCTAATTTAAATAGCATCCACATTATAATTAAGAACAACAATTATTTACATGCTAATTAAAAGCAAAGTGATTATTTAAAGGTGGAACCGGTCAAAAATATTTGTCATCATGGCACACTTGGATTCGGAAAAGAACGTTTTTCTACAAATGATTTTTTTGTCTGAAACTTTCTTAGGCAATGTAGGTTTATTTTTGTATCAGCGAAATGTTGTAATTTCGGCTATCCAAAGCTCTAATTTGTATGGGCAATTAAAATTAAAATAATTTTTTCATCCTGTATACGGGAACGCATCGCAAAAAGAGTTTTCAGAATTTTTTTAATTACTGGCAAGTCTATGTGAACGTAGTTCCTTTTGAATTACCTTGGCAATTTAAAAAATAATATACGCATAAATCATAATAACTATTATTTGCATGCGATTGTGTTTTTGAACTCGAGTTTTTAAGATAAAATATACATGGTGAACATTTTGTCTGGAACACTGGATATATCTTCAAAACAACATTCTTTTAAAGAAACTTCTTATAGTATCCAAAATTATTAAAAGTATGACACCAGTTTACGTACGTTAAATTTGTGATCAGTGGCGTACTTTTGCATGGTGAAGGGGGGTAATATCTTTTAAATGGCAACTACTAGTTTTTGATATTCAAAATACACTTTTTTGGATAGAGCAATATAAGAAACTTATTATACAGGGTGCTCCAACAGTGCGTCGGTCTTTCCTAGCTCATACGAATTATCAAAGTGGAGCTTGCTTATGGGGAATTATAGAGAAAAAAATTAATAATTTGGTAACATTGACAAAAAACCAAAAAGTGAATCTATTAAAAAAAATCAGTTGCCTATTGACACCGGCAAAATGGGACAGCCTGTGTATTTCAGAATACTTTCTATCGTTGAGATTTGCCCAAAAGGTTGCACTGTTGCAGGACCCAGTATTGCATAATCAAATTTAAGAGAAAAACTCACATTAAGGAAAATTGTGTTAATTAATTCTATAATTTCACTAGATTGCAAAAAATAGGTTATTCTTTTGTTAATTATGTCAAAGTAATTTATTGTATACCATTAAAAATGTATAAGTAAATCTACAGTATGTCCCAGATCGTGTGGGATTGCATGGGTAACTTTCTTATTATTAAAGATAAAGAATTGGTTAAATGGACAATGTTTTGCAGTGTTAGATGCTTATTTAAAATTTCCTTGTGGAAATTCAAAATGTTGAATAGGTTTGACGTAAATTAAAAAAAAATAAAATTTGTCATTTCCTTGAAAGTATAAAGTATAAAAAAAGTTTTATATAAATATATTGGATTTTTAGATTACTCGATAGATTTTTTATTTCTCATTTCAACTTTTCATAGGATAAGATTGACAATAAGATACCAGTTATATCAACGGTTTTTATATTTTAATCAAGTAGTATGCGATGAATTAAAAACCAAAACAAAACAAAATCTATTTACCCTAAGTTACAGACGGGATCTAGGACACACTGTATATGGTTACAAACTATTTACAATGGCGTGCGTCTACAGAACTAAAAGGGTCACTTTTTTAATGGAAAGCATTATGTTTCGTGAAGAATGAACCTTTTGTTTAATATGACAACATAAAAACATGATCAAACGAGTAAAATTATGTAATTAATTAAAAACTATTTTCCTTTTCTTTGAAATTAGATAAATTTTTTTAAGCTGCTACAACCCAAAAAAGTGTACTCTTTAATAATATGTAAAAACTAGTAGTTTCCATTAAAAAAATATGCCCCCCTTGACCACGCAGAAGTACGCCATTGACCACAAATTTAAACTACCTAGATTGATAGCAATTTTTTTATATTTTTGGGTACCATAAAAAGTTTATTTAAAAAAAATGTCGCTTCTAAGATATATGATAAATGTTCCAGACAAAATGTCCACCCTGTGTATTAATTGTTGGGCCAGCCCTTTGTATACTCATTTCAAATAAATTTCCAAGAATTACGGCCTAGTTAGGGCCTTTTATCTACTTACCAATGATTTATTGGCCGATTTCGCTTTCGTAATTACTTTTCCCGTACATAATTGTTTAAGAAAGTACATATATAAATATGTTTATCCAAAAGACATTTTTTTCTACTGAATTGCTGCACACTTCTTCTTGCAAAATTATTAAATTACGATTCTGCAACTAAATTATATGATCTTGTTTTTCAGTAAGTTTCCTTAATTTCGCAATACTGTTGGCAGATTTTCTGTAGAGGATGGTCCACGTCCCAATTGACAAGTTGAGCTTAGAAATCAAGTAAGAACGGGAGGGGCGGGGAGGGTTGAATCCAAGAATACTCGGGCACCTCATAAGAAATTTTGGATTCTAACCAGCTCTTCATTTTGATAAGATTCTTGAATTTATTCCGGGTAGGGGAGGCGTCTCGGTATCAATTTCCGAAAAGTGAACTTTGTTGACATTTACCAAAATAAAACTGTTACAGTTCAGTTTCAACGGCCTTTTTATGCAAATTAGAACTGCTCGCGAAAATAGTCAACGTGAGCGCATAGCTTATTACCTTAACCGCAACAATAGGCACACTATGATCCATCTATACATATGGGAGCAATGGACTCGAATTACTGGTATAATGCATACGGTTTCTTTTATACTGGTAGTGAAGAAAGAGGTACTGGGTGTTATTATAGTACATGGGTGAAGTGCGATGACCATCACGGTCCGCTGCACCCTACACAACAGGTGATTCATGCCAGTGTAACTTGCAACGCTAAATATGGTTCTGTATATCGGGCACGATCTATAAGACGACCTTGCTTTATTTGCAAAGTGGTTAGTCGCCATCGATAACTGTTAAAAGCACAAACCTCCTCTTGAGAGGCGGCAGCCGCACGCAATCTGGAAGCTCGCGTCGTACGGGGCTCCTCCGAGCTGCTCGAGACGTCTTTGTGAATAGGACGTTTCTTCGCCGACGGCTGAGACTCGCTTGGCGTCGTACCGAACTGCGACGCCAATTGCTTGCGACGCTCCTCCTTGTAGTGGGCCATCCGTTCGGCCCGAGTGCTTTGCAGCTGAGACATTTTGGCTTTTGTGGAGTTCAGAATATCACATTTTCGAGAACGCGTTGGACGACGATGACGAATTCCTGCAACAAAAATATTCCATTTAATAACAGTCGAACAGGCGGCTTCAATCAATACGAACTTTCTTTTCATTTTAAGCGTATCTGTCATTCAACTTAAAAGTAAACCGTCTCAGACACGATTTATAAATAAAGACGCCGAAAACAACGAGGTTCAATATCCGATTAATTTGATAACTGAAAGAAACTAGGGTTCAGTTACCAAACAATGGAGAAATAAATCCAATTAGAAAAGTGATCCCCCAAGGGAGCTGTAGGGTTCCATAGTAGCTAAGTATCTCCTCGAACTTTTCAATTTTAGTACATATTTACAAAATATTCTATACTGACATTGATAAATTACGAATTAACTGCGTTATAGTTTCCGAAATCACTTTGCGTTTTCACAAAGTTCCAGACATTCGATTAGAAGTTTTTGGGGGTCCTGCTCAAAAGCCACTACTCGCATTAACTTGTTATGAACATTAAAGTTAAAGTGATAAGAGATGGAGATCTACTTGAAAAGTCAGAGAAATGTGTCCTTTTTCATATGCCTGTTATTTTACAAAAAAATAAGCGACTGAAGAAACTGCAGAAACCGTTTGAGGGGATAAGAAAAAGGAAAAAGCATCTGAATCCGACGGGGGATTTAGATCTTGACCGATTGACTGAATGAGGAGCTCTGATTGGTTACAATTTAAAAATTATCCAGTCAAGTTTCTTAATTATGTCAATCAGCTGAACTGAGCGGTAGAAGTACGACAAAAAAATTACAATTAAGTCCGGAAACTGACCCCTCTCACTATAGACCTCTTGCGAGATCGCAGGCACTTCAACCCATTTTGACATATCAATATTCTATACGAGCATTAGCCAGGTTTGACTCTACCATCAGTAACATCTTGTCGAGGGCTACCATATTCTCTTTGTCGGTACCCACTTCTGACGTCCCATCACGCGCAATTCACATTTGAAGTTTTTACAAATAAATTTGCAAATATGCGCTAAAAAGGCACTGTGAAGCCAGCCATCGAGCGAGCAATTGGGAGAAAACATAAACATCTCGCTTAACAACTCGATTCAAAAAAGTTGTAGATAATTGTGAGGTTAAAAGGAGCACCAGAGCACCTATTTTATAAGCTAAAATTTTTGAAACAGAAACATTTTTTTGCTTATGGAAACTGTGGTTTTGTAGGTGATTATTAAAATATACGGTATACGAGCAGACCCCACGAACTGTTTAGCGAGAAACTAAGCACTTCCGTGAATATTTTTCGAAGAGAGCCCCAAAATGACTTATGAACAACATTGGGGATCAGGGAGAGAAAGGACAAAGTACCTCATTTGATCCCAGCTTTCGAAAATTAGAAAAACTCAAATTTTTTTTCAGGTTCGCCTTGAGTTCAAGCTTTTCTTTTCCAATGAGTGGAGCTCGGGAATTAATTGCTAGTAAAAGGAATGTTTTTAGCATGCTATGTCTACAGGAGTGCGCAAGGGACACTGTGCGCACATTTGAATAACGAAGTTCTTTTGCAGGTGCAAATCGTCTCAGAGGAACAACCAAATATGGTAATAGTGGGCGAAAACTGGCATTTGGTAGTTTTTTCCGGGAACCATGATAGATGGAAAAATGGGCCTTGATACTTTAAAATGAAAAAACCAAAATTTCTACCTCAGGACGGTACAGCCTTAGACGCATTAAATAAAAACACATTTTTTATTATACCTGAATCACAATCTCCGTTTTAAACACTCAAATGCGTGCGAAAAAAGGCCTTTAAAACACACGTGCTTTAAAGTTGCTAAGTAACGATACTTCAAGTATGACTTTTGAAACTGTCATCTGGATGAAATAAAAAATCCTCTTAGGTCGCTTTCTGTAAATGCAGAACATTTCTTTGGCTTTTGTACCTACCCTTTGGTTGAAGCTTTCACAAATGCGCGTAATTTAGGGTATGTTTCCAAATCTGTTCCACTTTTTAATCGCAGCATTGCTTTAAAGTTTTGAATGAATGCACCAAAATATAGAAGATTTAAATACCTTTGACATTTCCTTCATATATGCCAGCATTATGGATGCATTTAAGACTGTATTCGTAAGTAACTTCCTATTCATCCATGGAAAACAACTTTTCATATTCTTTATAATAGGCTTTACTGGAGTTGGATTTTACACCTACCAACGTTTGTTTAGATTTTCCAACAATCGATTTAATGGACGGTGTATTATCTTTTTCAACGGAAATCGTTTAATTCACAAAGACGATGATTTTTATAAGCAAACGTCAAGTGACATTTCCATGGCAATCGTGAAATTACGAACACCCAGCCCACTTAATTAGACATGTATTCGAGTATAACGTCAATATGACTTCATTGTATTTCCTATTTTTAAATTATACTGCAGGTATAATAAAAAATACTATAAGATACACGTGTATAATTGATCTTTAAAGCACTTGCAACGTTAAAGGCACTCCGCTTTGCGTCGTGCCCTTAAACTCGTTGCGCGTGCTTTAAAGACTTGATTATACACTTGTATCTTAATATACTATTTAATCAATGTTTAGACGGGAGTGCAAAATTTTGTGTTTATTTCGAATGTTAAAATTCAAAAAAAATCCCACTGGTCGATCCCCAAAACTGTCATAAAATTTAGTAGGTAAGCTCTTCATGTATTTCAGAATGGTAATCGGGACACCCTGTATTTACCATTACTCAAAGCTTGATCACTAAATCTGCTAGAATTTGTTACAAATAGGCACATAATTGCTGAATTTTATTTATTATTTATTTGTAGTTTTACTTTTGCTATAAATTTAAAATTTGGTTCAATAATTAAGTACCTTTTGATTGTTTTTGTAATTTAACAAGGAAGTGTGATGTTAATAAGTGCTCACATTTCGTCGGCCGTTACCGAATATGAAAAATGATTATGAAGGTGGTCTACACCTAAAAGGATGGGCGCCGATCTAACGTGGCGGTCTCAATTCAATTAATTCAGTTTGTCTTACAGATCTTACGGATCCCAGCTGGACCCTGAGATTCAAACTTCTTTAATTATTAAAATTAAAGTTTGTTGGGAGATGGGGGGGTTAGTTACATGTTCTAATTTGTAATTTGAGCTAGCTAAGGTAAGTGTTAATTGAGTGGTGTAATGAACTACTATTGCATTCAGCAATTTTGGTGCAGTAGGCGTTGACAAAATGTCAAAATAGCGATATTCCTTTAAAAATGGTAGGTATACTTAATAAAGAATCATATTGCGCTATACATAACCGTATTCGTAATAAAAAAAATGCTACTCTACAGTATGTACTTTTTTCCGACCTATACAAAAATATGAAGTTGAAGATGTCTTCTCAAAGACGAAACGTCGCATTAAAAATCTGTCTTGGACACTGTATATTCGTAGGCGAATTTTCAGGATTACGAAAATTGCCGTTCCAAAAAAACTGCAACCGATCTGACCCGTTTTGACGTAGATATTTCGAAAGTTAATCCAATGACAAGTACTTTGCGTTATATCATCGGATTTCTAATGAAACAAAGAATCTTTAGAGGGTAGTCTCATCCCGAAATGACGGGAATATAATATTCCAGGCTGGAAAGTTTATTCATAACCGTCCAGGTTAAATTGGACGATTTTCAAATCTTGAAAACTAATCCAATGACAGTATCATTTAAGTTCACTATCGCATAGAGCACACTTTCAACTTCCATTTCATCTAAGTTTGATTACAAAATGACGGGAAATCAGATGTACTACTTTAAAGTAACATTTTGCTTAAAATTTAGAAGGTATTGTTGGCCCCTATTAGTTATTTTCTAGTAAAAAGTTTTAGTCGAATAAGTTTGTAAAGAATCCTGTAAAACCAATGGAAAGTTTTGATTGATTTCAATATATTTGTATGGTCAAGTAGCGTTTTCTTCTGCTGGCAAGTGGTGGAGAAATCAAAAATTTTCAGAAAGGAAAGGAGAGAAAGCTACAATAAGCAAACTATATGAAAGAAGTAAATAATTTGTTATTAGCCATATTTGAGCTAGTCGAAGGCAATTAATAATCATTGTTCCCCTAGTTTAAGAAGTTGTAATTTTGGCGTCAGAAATTAAGCATTCCACCCCCTTGTAATGAGAAAGCTTATTTCACCTTAGCTATCTCTCTAACTGGGCTTCATTATAAGCTTGGTGACAAAACCAGCCATGGATCTTTTCGCCACCTAAAAAATTGCCATTGCCAATAAAAGCTGATAGGTTGCGGTGGAGGGAGCTAAGATGTGGACTGTGGAGGAGGCAAACTGTTTTTGAGATTTTAGTAGAGTCTGATACTTTATTTTCTTTTTTTGTATTCAAAATGCAATGCAAAATTTATCTGGCACACACCAGTAGTTGTTAACAAACCTTTACCGACGTCGCGTGGACGGATTCCATGAGAAAAAAAAAATGTTTTTGACTTCACTCAAAAATTGTGGCGTCAAAAAAATAATGATTGTTTTGCTTGTAATGACATAATTAATTGGCTGCACTAAAGTCAATAATAACGAAACCAGAGGCGCCAATGAAATAACAAAAAAATGTTTATAAAATATCTAGTTAGTATTTTTGCAAAAATCCTCGCAAAAATCAAAAGGGGGTTTAGATAGCTGTCATCATATTTCACCAAAATCGAACCCAAACGCCATTTACTCAATTTCGCTACAATATTAACTGTTAATATCTTCGCACAAACAAACCAACCGCAAACCGGAACTGGTATCAACTTCCGGGTCGGACCGGAAATGCTGCGTTTTACGCAGAGGATATGTATAGAGTGCACTTGCAATTGCGACTTACTCAATTAGCAAAACAAGAACTACTATTGGTACCTAACAAAAATGGTATTAGCATTCGATTAACAAAGAAAGCGCGATGATATCATAAATGTTTAAACATTTGAATGCGATAAACAAATAAATAAAACGAGCAATACCTTAATGTTATTCAGCTCTTCTTCAAGTCGCCACACTAAAAAATACAGCACAAATAAAATAACAATTGAGGAGCGGCGTGTTCCGCAATGTAAAACAAACTCATCTTCATTGTTCCACTTTCTTAAACAAAATGAATGTCAATGTTCGCGATAAACAGCGCGCACACACGAAGTGATAAGAGAACCATTTGAACATGAATGATTATTGTACTTGTCAATGGGTACAATTTCTACAGGCCTTTGAAAAAAACGTGATTTTCCACATTATCTACATTAGTCAACTATCCTCGTGTCCATTTATTATTAAATACCGAGACACGAGCAAGGTCGAGCCACTACCTAATAATAATTTTATGACTTCGTTTTTTTCTTGTAATTTGCATTGTTTTCCAATGTAACTTTTTAGCATGGCGTACCTTTTAAACAATCGTCACGTACTGATTGACATTCTAATTTCGATACACTTTTTTCGCTTCTCGCTACATTATTGAGGGAAATGGAGTAAGTGGGTAGTAAAGAAACTAGCAGTGACCACACGAAGGTCGGCTAAATTCATATTCCGAAAACGTGACTGAACTTTGCATTATTGTAAATCCATTAGCGCTTTAAAAAATTTGGGAGTTTGGGAAGATAAATTCCAGACATTTTGGTAAATTCATCCCAGATATGAAACAAAAACGCTTTTGACAGTCTTGCTTAAAATGATCTAAAACGACGACAATTAATGATGAAATTTTGACTTGGTCAAAATACGGTGATTGCAGTAGCCACCTAGCTCGTAGCAAATAAATATTTTATGGTAGATTACCCAAAAAGGTTTCTCAAAAAATGGCTGAATTTTTGTTCATATTTGGTCTGATGTAGGAAATAGTGGGAGTAGCCTCACCCGAGTCAAATACACAGCCACCTGGGTTATCAGCCCATCACCCACTTTTTCCCTTTTAAAAATGAAAACTGCGAAATGTGAAATATCAAAAAAGGTGCTAAGACACTTCAAAAACTTCCTAAAAAATCGTCTTAGAACTCGTTTCGAAAGGTTTTAAAAACCCTCTCAGAAATGTTATTACTGTTATTAGAATATTGTTTCCTTCCTGTAAATTTAACCTTCTTTCCTGTTCATGATTTTTTGTAAAGATCATTACACAGGTCGTGTTCATAGTATATATTTGGATAAATAACGACTGTAAATTTTAAATGTTATTTGTCCCTCTTGTTCTAGGCCCTCAACAGGCTTACGCCCAATTAGAGAATACAGAGTGGCCCGCATAATGCTTTTTAGAGGTGCCCCTGCAGAACGTCTTAAGTTGTTCAATGTTTTTCATAATAAGGCAGCATTCAAATGTTTTTATTTCCGAAAACAAATGAGTAGCGAAAAACAATTGAATCTTTTGAAATAGCAATGTACCTTTTTATTAGGCTCGTTTTTTTCTCTTTTCGAAACGTAACATGTTAGTACCCTTTCTTCGGTTACTGTTGACAGAATAGTGAAATTTACATTAACAAAAATGGCACAGGACAGGTAGAGTTTTGTGAACAAACATCAAATTCAGAGATAGGATACCAAAAAATTTGTTAAATCAAAACTACTCCGCAACTTTGCTGATAAAAAAGCAATTTGGCTTAGTAGCCAATAGCAACACACGATTCAAATAAAATCCAAGAAGCCCATTACACAAAACAACTTTTTAATTAGACATCTCTGAGCGAAAATTCCTTAGTAATGAAGCGCTACAAATCTGCACACCCACCTGACTCTTGTCCTTTAACAGATTGAACGAATTAAATTAAATTGACGCCTTTTAAAAAAATGTATTATAGTATGTAATTGATCAAAAATTTCACATTCACAGTTAAAGTTCCTTTGAGTTGCCACGCGTTATTAATACATTAGGTTAAAACGTTGTGCCACGTTCAGCCGTTTTACACCAACTTTGTTGTTGTGTAAACTAAGTCAGGCGGACGTTTTCAATTTTGTTATTAACGTTAGATTGAGTTCATGGATTGGGATGGGACGCAAGTCATTTGATTTCGAACTCAATTTTGTTTTGTATAAGAATTACAAGTTGTTAATTTTGTTTAAATAATCGCCTTTTTATTTTGTTTATTTGGTTGTACGATTAGACTTAAACATCTGAAAATTATTTGCGTAGTAGTATTTGTAAAAGTTTATCTCGTGTTTTTCTCCGGTTGTGGATAAAAAGTTTTCCTATCGCTGCGTGTTGTCGCCGTATTGAACACAGATGCAGTTTGAGCTTTCAAAGGCGCACATTATTTGGTAAAGGAAGCAGGAAGGAAGTAAATGAAAAGTATAAAAGGTTTTAAACTCGGTTTTAAATAACGAACAGGATGTTAATCGTGGCTCTTTTTGATGGAAGACCAGAACGTTCAAACATAGCCGTATTTGAGCTTTACAAAACAGTCAGTCTTGTTTAATTGTAAAGTTTAGAAACAAGTTAGTCGAGTGCTACCAGTATTAAAAGGTTGAAGTCGTCGTGTTTAAAAAAACAAAACATGTTTTCCTGTTTGTGATTTTTCATATTCATGTGAAACTCTCTAGTATGAGACCTATAAATGTTTAAGATATCAGTATAAAGAAAGAAAGTGTCTGTTCAAACACAGAAATAATAGGTTCCTTTGTATTTTTTCCGGTAGAATCGAAAGTTGAAATCAGTTTTTGAAAAAATTTCCAAAATTTAAACAAACTATCAACATTTATTTAATATTTATTTCAACGTTACTGAAGTTGTTTTTAGAGTTTTTCCGTTTTTTCAGCTTCTTCTTTAATAGGGCCTATTTGTTATAGACCATTTTAACATTTCCACTTGGTAAAGTTCCATTAACAATTTTCTTTTGTAAAAGTGCAATTTAACTGAACTATATTGGTATGAACAGCTTATTTGCTATTAATTCTTGAAATTCTATTGAAGTATGTTTGAGACTCCACAAAATATTGGAGCTCTCTTAAAATTATTTTGTAAACCCTTCTCTGAAAGATTCCTTGAAACTTTCTTGAAATATTGTTGAAGCTTTGTGGAAGCCACCGTTAATCCTTTTTCCAAGCTACAAAACTGAATGAAACTCGAGGCAATGAAGAGTGTCACGGATCCCTTTATAATAGTTTCAAAAGAGGTTAAAGGAAGTTAGCAGTGCCAATTCAATTAATTTACTCCTTTTGGAGCCTTTTTGAGACTATCTTGAAATTGCAAGCTTGGATGAAATAAATTTTTTTGAGTTGGTTGAGGTTCATAAATATTTTTAAAAGTTACCGTGAAGGTTTCTCAAAATTAAAAAAATTGTAAAATTGATTATTATAAAAATGATTTAAATTTAGTCATTTTGCTCCATTTTAACCTATACCGTAGCTCTTATTCTTAACATAATCGAGATCCCCACAGCAAATCAATTAAATACACATTTTTTCAGCGATATGAAAAACTTCTCGAACATCTTCAATAACCAACGAAGCCAAATATGAGATTTAAACGAACAAATCGGTGGAAAGGCGGGCTGAATTGCGTCTCTGAAAAAATTTGGAGCCGATTCAAAATAGCTGGAAGAAGGGGGGACAGTATTAAAAAAATGGAAATGGAATAGTGACTACTTGAACAAGGAAATGCAGTGCTTATCAAATTTTTACCCACGTAAATGCGTTTTGAAAATTCCGAGGAAAATTCCCTACAAAACTGGGGAATATAATTTCGGGCGGATCTAAAGGGCTACAGTGTGGCACAAGAGACTTGTGCAATGTAACAGGGTGTAAAACTAATAAGTTAGTAAATGTCCATTTCGAAATAAGACGTAAATTCGGCACAAAAGATGCTAAACACGTTTTAATTGAAGTTTATGATTTATGTTCATAGTTAATTACCATAAAGATGAAAATTTTAATATTCTTTCACGAAGGATGACGAGCATGTTACGTTGATAAATGAGATATTGTTCCCCCAACAACGTTCGCGCTAAGTTTTTCTACGGAAACATGATTCATGAAATTTCCTTTTATGCACGCACAACAGCCTTAGGTACCATTAACGCCAAATTACAAGTCATAACAAAACCCAGTTTCTCACGATTTGGCCACGCGTTTCACCTGTTCAACAAAACAACGTCGAACTTGACCCACATTCTCCACCGGCTGCGTCTCCTCGAGGGAAATATGAATTCCTTTAAAAGCATTAAAACGTAAAACTTTTCCGAGTAAATTGAGTAAGCATCCCCGGGGTTCCATTCGGTCTCCACTTCCATTTTGTTTTAACTAAATGTTGGGTTTAATTTATATATTTAGTTAGGTTTCGTTCAAATGTGTAAGTAATGTATCTGTCTGGGGATCGCTATTTAAAATTTACAAAACTTTTTAGCGTACTTTTGGGAGTAGGCAAAGTTTTAATTAAAAATCCCTCAAAATTATTTGTAAATAATAAATGGGGGTGAAACGCAGATCGGCTAAAGGTAAAAGAAAGGATTACTCTTTTCACAGTGGCCGATAGATTTAATTAATTTACTCATCAACTGTCGTTCCACACCGCATACCACGAGTTGATTAGAAAAATTCGCAACATTGTAAATAGTAATCGATAAAGCAACTCCAAAATGAAGCACGCAAAAGACGTTCCCAGGGAATCGATGTTAAATTAATAATTCGTCCATTTGTGGCGTGCTCTGTAAATTAATAATAATCCAGCTGAAGGTTTAATAAGTAACAAAACGAAGTGATCTTTTCATGAATAACGCAAATTACCGCAGTTCGCAATGAAGTCCATCAAAAATTAACTCATGCCGTTCCCAAATTTAAAGGACAACCTTTAATTAGCAGATGAAAATAGAAAGTTTGGTTCACAGGAAGCTGTGAAACTGCTTAAGATTATAAGCGTGTAGTAATATTTAATAAAATTAAATTTAAAGAAGTTCCTGAATATATTTATACAGACGACGTAATATATTGCATTATAAATTCTATTATTACAACATCTAATAAATATACATGACACCCGTGTGTAATTCTAATCGAAGTGAATTACTATATCCGCATTAACGAGTAACGATGAGGAAAATGTGGCAAAAAATTGGAGCGACCTCCATTTGCATTTTATTTCCAAATTGCTAAAGGCAAATGTCAACATGGTCGCAAATTCGTAAACAATTACGTTCTATAAAGTTATGAACATATGAGACTGATATGTATTACGCAGAAGTTG